TGGATTTTTGGGGTGTTTTTAATGGATTTTTTTGGGTGTTTTTAATGAATTTTTTGGGGTGTTTTTAATGGATTTTTTGGGTGTTTTTAATGGATTTTTGGGGTGTTTTTATTGGATTTTTGGGGTGTTTTTAACGGATTTTTGGGGTGTTTTTAACGGATTTTTGGGTTTTTTTAATGGATTTTTTGGGTTTTTTTAATGAATTTTTGGGGTGTTTTTAATGGATTTTTTGGGTGTTTTTAATGGATTTTTTTGGGTGTTTTTAATGGATTTTTTTGGGTGTTTTTAGTGGATTTTTTGGGTGTTTTTAACGAATTTTTTGGGTTTTTTTAACGGATTTTTTGGGTGTTTTTAATGGATTTTTGGGTGTTTTTTGAATTTTTTTGGGTGTTTTTTTGCTGTTTTTTGGGGTATTTTTTGTCTGTTTTTTCTGGGGTTTTTGGGGTGTTTTTAGTGATTTTTTTAGTGTTTTTTGGGTATTTTTAGGGTATTTCTGCTGGGTTTTGGCTGATTTTGGGTATTTTGAGTGGTTTTTTTCCTGATTTTTGATTTTTTTTTGTGTTTTTAGTGGTTTTTGGGTGCTTTGGGTGTTTTTGTAGTTTTTTGGGTATTTTTGGTCTGGTTTTGTTGGTTTTTTGGGGTGTTTTTAGTCGGTTCTTTAGTGGTTTTCTGGTTTTTTTTAGTATTTTTTTGGGGTGGTTTTGGGGGTTTTTTGCTGTTTTTTGGTTTGTTTTTGTCGGTTTTTTTGCGTTTTTTGGGGTTTTTTTTGGTGTTTTGTGTTTTTTGGTGTTTTTGGTGGGTTTTGGGTTGGTTTTTTGCTGTTTTTTTGTTTGTTTTTGTTGTTTTTTTGCTGTTTTTTGGTTTATTTTTTCGGGTTTTTTGTGGGTTTTGGTGGTTTTTTGGTGTTTTTTGGTGTTTTTTGGTGTTTTTTGGTATTTTTGGTGGGTTTGGGGTTGGTTTTTTGCTGTTTTTTGGTTTCTTTTTATCGGGTTTTTTGTGGTTTTTTGTTGTTTTTTGGTTTATTTTTGTCGGGTTTTTTGTGTTTTTTGTTGTTTTTTTGGTGTTTTTTGTTGTTTCTTGGTATTTCTGGTATTTTTTGTTGTTTTTTGTTGTTTTTTGGTGGTTTTGGTGGGTTTTGGGTTGGTTTTTTGGTGTTTTTTGGTTTATTTTTGTCGTGTTTTTTGTGGTTTTTTGCTGTTTTTTGGTTTATTTTTATCGGGTTTTTTGTGTTTTTTGTCGGGTTTTTTTTGTGTTTCTTGTTGCTTTTTGTTGTTTTTTGTATTTTTTGGTATTTTTGGGGTTCCCCTGAGCCCTTTTTGCCCCCTCAGAGGCTGCGGGACCAGATCAAGACATGGGTGGCCTCCAACGAGATCAAGGACAAGCGGCAGCTGATCGACAACCGCAAACTCATCGAGACGGTACCGGGACAGAGGGGG